ATATGGTCCAAAATGTGATGATAATCTGATTGATACAAATGTTAATTTGGATTTTCTAGGAAACCAAACATCTCTTGTGCTGTCCTTTCTCGTATCATGGTCAAACCTCTGATAGATTTGCGGTTTTAATCTATCAGTTTAATCTGTGATAGGGGTGATATTTTTTGTTGGCATAGTCAAAAGCACCTAGAAGTTAGATGCTGAATATTAGAATATGTATGACAACAACACATAGTAGGTTTAAATCAAAACCCACTTCTTGGGATAACAACATCATCGGATAATAACACGAAGGTCGTAACGAATACACAAAGTTTTAATTAGGGATTTTTGTGTTTCATACGATACGAGTTCAAGACAAAGCAAACTCCAAAACCACATGACTAGTTGACACGAGTAGTAAATGCTTTGTTTTAATGTTAAATAGAATAAATTAGTTTTGGCACTATAAACTCATTTACCTTGAAATATAAGATGTAAAGATCTAATTGTTTTATGTTATTTTATTTTATTTATCCATTGAAGTAGTACCATACTAATTATTGTGGAATTAAATATTTTAATTTTATTTTGCTAGAATTTGGATGACGAAAGATTTTTAACTCAAATGAGAGATATGTGCAATGTTTTTGATTGAGAAAAAATGTCATCTTTGTAATTTTTTTTGCGGGTTTGACAAAAATAACACAAGTTGAATATGACACGAGTTTAGAATAATATGATCCGAACATGATACAACACAACTCAACTAATTTCTGTACACCCGTTTAGAGCAAAGTCTAGAAGACATAAATGATAAAAAAATCTTAACTTATTTTGGAGAAATCGACTCTCAGACTAAAACCTGCAAAGTATTACGGATGACCACTTGACATGACTCTAAATCCAATTTCTAGGATTGAAAATATGAAGTATGTGATAAGAGTGGGTGAAAATGATAGCAAAAGTTTCAATGTTTTATTCATGCTCCTATGTATATCTAATACAGATGCCACAAACTAGTTGTGTTCTCCGTTTTAATAATTATAGTTGGACCCCACTAGATAAGCCAAGCTAGACAATTCAAAGTAGGTATGAGGACTTATGCTGTGGACATGGACACTAAAGTGACATGTATTGCTACTTAAAAGCATCAAGATATTAGTTTATGTATTGTAACTTACTTCAATGGAGAACCAAAGAAAATATCTTCCATAGAATACCTAATATTTTGTCTTGAATAGCAAAGATTAATCGAGTAATTAAACAAAAGGAAGATGTAAATCTCAAAGTCTTCAGTTCTAGCTCTACTGTTCGCATAAAATTAGGATTTCCTCGATAAATGGGTGACCTGATTTATTTGTTAGCGGATCAAAAACGGCTATTTTTTCCTATTTCACATGTTTTGTTGCTCTTTCTCTTTTGGGTTAGCTCTTCTTAATAAACTTTCTTGAGTAAGATCTACTAAAAAACTTAAAAGGAGAAAGTGTCATATGCGGTTGATTGTTTGTTTTTAAGGTTTGTGTTATAAGTACAAAAAATGTGCAGGTGATTGTTTCTTTTTGAGGTTTGCATTTCAACTTAGCACAAAAAATGCATGGTGTAGCCGGTTATCTGTTCCCAAAAATTATTTAAGTTGATAATCTGTTCTGTTTGGTTTGCATATCAGAAACTGTTTTTTTGTTTTTAGAAACAGTTTCTGGGAGAAAAATTGTTTGACCAGCTTTTTTTGTTTTTGTTTTATAAAAATTGAAAACAAAAAGTGAGTACATTTAAAGAACAAGTTATGAGTGTTTTTGTGTATTTTTGAAAACAACGTTCCAGAATTTAAAAAACGCCACCACCACCAGACTCCCACCACCACCACTAGGGATGTCAATGGACCGAAGCGGAGTGGGGGGTATAGTTTTCATCCCTGTACCCACTTAAAAAATCTTTGTCCATCCCTAGTCCACCCCCACTAATGAGTATAATTTTTATTCACATCTCCGTCCGAAGATAAATTTATAATCCCCGCTTCCCCTGTACCTACTCAAGCCCAAGCCCAAGCATAATCCCAAGCCTAAGTCTAAGTCCAAGTGCAAGCCAACATAGTCCAGCACCACCCCCGTTACACTCCCACCATCACTCATATCCACCACAACCACCACACTTCCACCACCACCACACTCCCACCACCATTATCACATTTTCACCACCATCATCGTATTTTCACCGCCACTACATTTTTGTTTTAATTATTTTCTGAGTTACTGTCTAAATAAGTTTTATTATTTTCTATTATGTAGAACTATTTATAGAATCACATAACCAAACAAATTGTGCAACACAAAAAAACACTAAAGTAATTTTCTAAAACTCTTCTCAAAAATAATTTTCGGATACTATTTTTTAAGACTCAAACCAAACAAGGCCATAGATTTTCTAGGAGAAAAGAGAGTTTTTATTATTATGGGCACAAATAATTTACAAATATCATTTTACACTTAAGGAGAAGAAGAACAAAAAAAAGACTATTCTATCTTAACTCGCATTTGTTAGGGTCCATTGTAATTTGACGACATGTTTTTAGTGATAATATGGAGTCTTACAAAGATGATATAATAGTAAATTAGGCTAGGATCTCTCCTTTGGTGTATAAACTAATTTTAGTTCTACCAAATTTTAAAGATAAAAAAATCCTCTGATTTTTGAAAAAACTTGCATGCAGTCCTTGTGTTGGTGGAATGTTAAAGGATTGGTCACTTACTGATTTTCATTACCCATTTTACTCTCGTCACATGATTTTAACCTAAAATATAGTTAGTTTCTTTCTTTTTTTTTTTTTTGTTTGTTATTGAAATTTTTGCAATATTATCTATCAGTTTTGAAATTCAAACTCGTAAAACATGTTATTTGGACATTATAATGACGTCTGACAATCTGTGTTTTAGTGTACTTGTTTGATGATTTGTGTTTATGGATAAAAAGGTATATTAACAATCTATATTGCATAAATATTATGTTTTATATTTTTTTTATAACATACCTGTTTATTTTTTATTTTTTTATTATGTATCTTTTTCTTTTTTGACTTGAAGGTGTATATATATATTTTTAATTGTGTACTTGCTTTTTTTTTAGTGTACCTATTTTACGATTTATATTTATAAAGAAAAATATACATTATGATGGCATAACTTTTTAAGATATGCGTTTAACATTGTCGTTATTTTTTATTTTGAATTTTCAACAATGGCATAATCTAAATCGTATTGGGCTTATGGAGAAGCATCCAAATCCCTCAAGAGCTTCAGGCTTTTTGAGAGATAATTGGGCTGTATTTATAGACTTTTTTGAGAGAGAATTGGGCCGACTGGCCACAGTTTTCGCCTTTTTCCTTGGTCTTATCTTTAGATCTCCCTTTCTATTGATCCAATAAAGGTTCAATCAAAGAATATAGTACTATCCAGAATTGGTGCTCAAGAGAAGGGTTTCAAACCTCTGAACGGCCTGTCCACAAGCTTGATGTTCTAAAAGCCTACGATCAGAGTTTTTCGTCCTAGAACTTGTCAATTTATTTTCATTACAATTCGATTCAAACTTGACAATCAATTACAAAACAGCTATCCGAGCTCAACTAATTCTGAGAAGAGCCGACTTGCAAAGAGAAGTTGAATCATAAAGATTGACACCATACTAATTGAGATCGGGTAGTTCCTTTTAGGATGAGGGTACAACCAGGTAGTCCCAACTCTTGTAATTTGGTATATAAATTTTCATACTTTCACTCTGGGATCGGGAACAAAATGATAACTGAACGATCTTCGCAGAACAATGCAACATTGATTTTATATATAATGCTAGAAGGTACTTCAAATCTTTTATCAAGCAGACAAGCAAGCATTTATCTGGTGGGACTCAATTGAATTAACTTAACCACAATTAAAGAAATGTAACATTGAGAAGATCCAAGTCCGTATATTACTGGGCCTGCGTAATGATCTAAAATTGTGAGTCTTGGCATTCTCTCTAGTATTACTAAGTTTTTCTTTAAAGGCATATTACCTTCTCCCTCTTTTTTTGGTACATAAATAGATATATAGTCTATAGATAGATCACTTCACATATTTGTCAAAGAGAGCATTATCTCACATTACCATAAGACTATTTGCGAGAAACCTCACCCATCTTTCATAGTTCTCTCTGGACATTTTTTATATGAAAAAAGATGACCGACTCTTTGATTTCATGAAGGGCTCTAACCTGTGCCGAAATGTCCAAGATTTAGGGGCAGCACAGACAGTTAGCCCGCTAGATTGAAAATACTTAGTTGGGGGGAGGCAAGACCGCGTTAATGTCGACGCCAAAATTAAGGTTTCATAGTTAATTTTAGGCTCTGAAGAGTAGGTTTAGTTAGTCCCACCGAACTGCCATAACTGTAGAGCTTTGAACCCAAATATTGAGTGAGGATATCTTAGTTCTTACTCACTGGACCAATTACTTGGTGGTTTACCTTCTATTTGTTGGTGGAGAACTCACTTCTATTATAGTTATGAGTAAATAAAAAAAGGCGCAAAAAGCTAATGAATGCAATGGATGGAGTTGTGGTTAGAACAGTGGCCTTACAATGCCAATGCATGTACCAAAAATGTTGGTGTTTGAGGCACACTCATTACCGGAAAATAGTTTGTCTGGCTTTTGAAGGTAAATGATGTTTTCTAACAAACTCCTCACGAACAAACCATCATGTTAGAGTACCCTTTTTCCCCCAATCAAGCATGATGATGCCAAAGCAAGATTTTTGAACAAGGACAGAGCAATCCTACTCCAGTGACAACTCTATGTAAATCAGCCTGGAAATTATAGCAAAAATAACAATATAGAATGAAATTTTATGGCATAACAATCCTACTACTCACTCAACATAGACAATTTAAACCTAGATAAAAGAGTACGGTTGCTTAAGTAACCGACAATCAACGTAAAACTCATCAAACCAAGCATGTCCAAAGAATGGCAAAACAATCCACATATCCATAATGAATTAAAGCTTAATTTTCCACTAGTACATCAAAGATCTTATGTATGTACACCAACATGCCTAATTATGTTTCTCACAAGCAAAAAATCAAAAAAAAGAAAAAAGAAATAACAGCTAGTTTTCTCAACAATATCCAACCCAATGAATATGAATTAAGGTATAAATAAAGTACAAATATTGAAACAAAACCTTTCCCACTTAATCCTAAGAAAATTGCACATGAACCTCACTTGCTCCAACATCTGCACTTTGATTCCCAAGCATGTTTGACCCTGAAATTGGGGTTAAATTCAGTGATCAAAATTGGCACAACAGAAGCGACAAAACCATTGGTCACCCTAGGTGGCAGAGAATCACCTACCCTGAACTGTAGTATTGGACCAAGAAAGTGACATGGAAGAAGACAATCCCTCTCTGATCTCTGCAAATGTTGGGTGTAACCGATGGCTAAAACTCCCATATTGGGACCAAAGTTCCGTAGATTTCATCTTGTCAAGGAGGTAGATATCCATGTCCTCACCTTCCGATTCATCAATCTCATTCTTGCCTTGGAAGGCTTTTACTACTTGTCTCATTGTTGGCCTAGCACGAGGGTCTGGATACGCACATAACAAGCCTAAATGAAGCAATGTCTCCACTTGCTCTTCTTGGAACCCTCCATTAGCCCTCAACCGCTCATCAAGAGCATTAAGTAATTCTCCTTGCCCCATTAGTTGCCAAACCCAATCTACCAAAGGTGGTTTGCCTTCCTCAATTGGCTTCCTACCACACATGACCTCCAAAATCAGGACCCCAAATCCAAATACATCGGTCTGTGATGATGCACGGCCACTTCTAATCACTTCTGGTGCCAAGTACCCTACGGTTCCAACTACACGAGTCGTGCTAGCAACCTCACCATGCCCATGCATTCTGGCTAACCCAAAATCCCCCAACCTTGCATTCATTTCTTTGTCGAGTAATACATTGCTGGCCTTAATGTCTCTATGTAGGACTTTGGACTCCCACCCTTCATGCAAGTACAAGACCCCAGAAGCCACATCTTTCAAAATTCTAATTCTTTCTTCACAACTCAACATCTTGCTTTCATCACATTCAAATAGCCTCTTATCCAAACTACCATTTTCCATATAGTCATAAACCAAAATTAGGCTACCTTTCTCCTTCTTACACCAACCTCTTAAACCCACCAAATTTCTATGCTTTAGCCTTCCAAGGCTTGAAATCTCTGCCAAGAATTCCCTCACTCCTTCACTGTTCTCATGTGAAATGCGCTTCACCGCAACTTCTGCCCCTCCTGGCAATACCCCTTTATAAACCTTCCCATTCCCTCCTATTCCAATCACATTTTCATCAGAAAAACTCTTTGTTGCCCCATCAATTTCTTGGTAAGTAATTCTATGTGGCCAATACTCCAATTCCCACTCTTCCATTTCCTCTCTCTCCCTTTTTCTTCTTCTATTCCTCTTAATCAAACACATAGAAACTACAGAACACACAACAACAATAAAGAAAAATCCCACAGTCATGACTGCAATAAACCCTTCTGATCGATAAACCGGACTCTTTGGCAGCTCAAACGATGGCAAACCCTTGGTAATTAAGGCTTCACTTAGCGAAAAATTCGAATTACTATAACTCCAACCCAAGATTTTGTGACTTTGAACCAAAACCCCAGTAGCCGCAGTAAACCCAACATACATTTCATCCTCAAAAACTTGAGAGAGATTAAGTGAAACATTCAATAATGGCCTGCTAGGCCTTCTCATCCCAACTGGCGCCATAGTAACATTGAGATGAAAATCTGCATAATCAATCCAAACTTGATAGTTTTTGCCATTGTTCAGCTTCAATTTCTTGAAAGAATTCCGATTATCAGGCCAATACCCAGCCTCATAAGCACTCGTAGATGTTAATGAATTCACATCAATCCCAACATGATTGTCATTGAGATCTCTGAATTCTTGATTATCAAACACATCAAACTCAATACCCAAAACATGGTTATTTTGATCCCCATCGTTCGTAAGATTAAACAGACCCAAATGCTGAGATGGTTCGACACCTTCAATACCTGTATGAGGAACAAACAGGAAAACTAATCCATGCCCAGGAAGGCGATTCCTATAAGGAGCCATAACAAAAATGAAAGAGGTTGAAAAGGGTAATACATAGGACGAATTTTGGTTTTTTGTGCGGATTTTTGAAGGGTATAGAGCTCGGCCGATTGTCAAATTTGAGGCGTTTGTTAGAGAGAGAAAACCAGATTCGATTGTGGCGTTGCCGTAGAGAGATATAGTGGAGGAATTGAAGCCGTTGCTGACGAAGTCGATGGCGCAAATGGATTGGAGAGATGAAAGTATCAGTAGTAGGTGTAGGAGAAGAGGTTGTGGATGGTTCTTCATTGCAGGAGAGATGAGAGAGAAAGGTCTGTCATGGAGGAGATGTTGCAGAGTTGATCCAACGGGACTATTTGAGAGAGAGAGAGAGATAACGTTTGATGTTTGAAAGGTTGAAAATAATTTTAGTCAACTTTGTGGCTTCTTGGGATTACGCTTTTACCCTTGCCATTTAATTTAATCATAAAAATGGTATATGTTTATTTATTTATTTATCATTTTTTGAGTTATTATTAAAGAACGAATGAAATCGACTCAACTGATATGATCACCAACTTCATGTTTCGTATCAATGTTCCTCTCTATGTATTTGTGTGTTATATTTATTCATCGATATGATCGTATTTTATTTGAAATATTAGAAAAATGGTGAGGCATTATAAGGAATGAAGTCTCATTTAAGCATCATTAGAATTCAAAATAAATCAAGTATTTATAGCTAGTTCATTTGCTATCATATTTACCATTTTCTAATCATATATAAATTAATTCATGCAAAATTGTAGGCCTTTCTTACTTGTAAATTTCTTATGACCTGTCTCCAGAAAATTGTCAAAATTTAAACTCATACATCATGTATTGGTATGTGCATAAAAATATCCAAACTTAAAAAAAATAAAAGAAAAAAAAATCTGTTAAGAAGACACGATATTTTTTTTAACCAAAAGAAAACAAGATTAAGAAAATCCATTTGAATAAAAAAAAATAGAATTTTGAAAGCCAAGAACAAAGGATTATAAAAGAAGAATTATATTGGGTATTTAAAAAAAAAAACGAAACGGTAGGAATTGTATTAATAAGATAAATATAAAAGAAGATATGTCACTAAGAATTCTAGTGTCATCTTTTTTCAAAAATCAACATTCTCACAACATTTAGTCTTTCAAGCCAACCGATAAACTACACAATTTCTTAAATGCCTAGCATTAAACAAAAAAGAAAAAATAAACAATTGAATAATATATTGAACATCCCCTACAATAGAGCCCGAAGAAGAAAAATCTTCTGAATTATTACCCAAAATCAGGTATTTGCAACATCTTACCCTAATCGACCGAAAAATTTGCAACGAGGATTCCCCGAAGAACAAAATACTTAGTCTGTTTTTTCACACTACACGTTAAATTCTTAGTTTGAATTTCACATTGCCTCGTTTATCGATTTGTGTCCAATTGCTCCAACAAATCAGTACAGACGTAGGACCCAAGAATGTTATTATTGACAGAAGATGGTTGAAAAGTCTTCAAAAACAAAATCAGGATTGGATCCTTTGATTGCAACAAATGGACTTTGAAAAGTTTTCTCATGAGATATACCAAAATACGTGATGTGAGGAGAGTGGACTTTGTTCATTTTTTAACGTAATGTATGACTTTGGCATGGCTTTATAACAAAGTCAAGCTTACATATGAGGGAGAGAATACCAATGATATATATATATATGTGTGTGTGTGTTCGTTAGTTAACGCATATCTTGATTAATTCTCTCTTTAGTTCGGTCAAAGATTGGTCATCCACGTCGAGACTGGGGTATTTACGAGAAATAAATCTCTCATGTTCTGACTCCAAGAGATTGTTAAGATTTAAACTCAAAATGTCTGAATTTACAGCTCGTATCTGTTACCACTTAAGATACCACTTGTAATTCCTATGAGATGCTATCTTCGCGGCAGCAATACTATCGTAACATCAGCTATCACCATATTAAACTATCAACTATGCTAAAATTTAAAACAAATTAAAAGAATTTGTAACATGAGGAATTGATCCATTAGCCTCCAAAAAATGTCTCAGACCAACTGCCCAATGCCCCCCAGAAAAGTAGTCAAAGAGTGTGTGTGTGTGTGTGAGAGAGAGAGAGAGTTGCTTAGCTTCCAATTTGATCGAAGTCACTTGAAGCAATCAGTCTGGAGCTTTGATTACAAGAGCTACTAACAGAGTTTTTGCTTCAATTCTTCCATATTGTTACGTGGGGAGTGCTGATTTTGGATGAAGATTATAGGTTGAATACATTTTTTTTTCAATTCTAATGTAGAGCAATAACCAAATTAAGCCCTCCCTAATGGCGAGGATCAATCATACCTTAGTTTCTAATAAGGAAATCTTGTTTGAACTCTACTTTCATAGTCAAGTTCACTATATCATATACTGGTGCTTGACTCGTGTGTGATGTATGGAATTTATGTCTCATCCCATCCCACAATTTTCATTCCATCCTCTCCCGACCCTAATCTGTTGAAAGAAAAAAAAAAACTTATTACTTTTTCGGTACCTTTTTGTGCTTCTTGGATGCCAACATGGTGGCAAAAAGCAATGGAATTTAGATTATTGATGTTATTGAGATCTTGCAACTCAGTATCTAAATCGTTAAAGTATATTCAAAATTTATATATATTTCTTTGTATATGTTCATAAAAAAAATGCCAGAGACTTGAGTCCGTAGGCTGGCCAACGGCCTGTTGATAGGCCTAATGGACATCTACTGGGCTGACCTTAGTTTATCTATTTTTGGATTTTTTTAAGGGTGGTTTGAAAGTCGGTACAATTTTTTAAACTTATTTGAACAAAAATACATCACAAAATTTTATTTGGGCTAAAGTGCATATTTTTAAAAAAATAAAAATATTGTCATTCAGTAAATAGCTGATGGGTTGAAACTCTTTATATTGCTTCCATATATTTTGGCTACAGTCAAACAATTAGAAGTAAAATAGGGGCATATTTTTTTTAACAGTTTCTCTCTCTCTCTCTCTCTCTCTCTCCTTATTTTCTCTTACTCTATTTATAACGCAATTACATTAATCAGTTACAATTGTCATATAATACACAAAACAGTTATTCATGCATTCTAATAAACCAAACAATTACACAAAATTATGACACTAACTCAAATTGTTATTTAGTTGTTCACATCATTGTTATTAGAACCGAACTGGACCGGTCGGTCGGACCAGTTCAACCGTGAACCGGGACTCTAACCGGTCTAATTCCTTAATTGAACCGCTTAAGGAAGTGAACCACTTAAAAATCGAAAAATCGGCCGATTTTTAACAAAAACCGTGAACCGGCGATTTTTTTAGAAATTGGACGATTTAATGCCCATTTAAAAATTAAATTACATAAACTAATTAAATCTATATTATTTTGGGTATTTGGGGCTTTTTTTTGCCCTAAATCTGTAAATCGCAGCACCATTGCCAGGCTCCAGCGACTAAGGCTCTTCGTCGTCTTCGATCTGGCTCAATACCACCACCGCCGTCTTCGACCAAGGCTCAGCACCACCACCACCGTCTTCGACCAAGGACTCTTCATCGTCTTCGATCAAACTCTTCGTTGTCTTCGACCAAGGACTCAGCACCACCACCGCCACAGCTCCAACGATCAGGCTCCAGTCCAGGGATCTTCGATTGTAATCATTGATCAGCCACAGCAATCAGCAATCAGGCGAGGCGACAGACTCCAGTGACTAGGCGAACTCAGGCGACATCTAGCTGTAAATTAAGGTTAAACTTCCTTTCATTAGTTCATATCTCAATAACTAAAATTGATGGTTGATTTTAGATGTAAACAAAAATGGTTTGTGCATCTGTCAAACTTGATTTCTTTGGTTTTGACTTGTGAATGGTGGTTGATTTCAATAAACAGGTTATAGTATTCAGCTCAATAAACATATTTTTATATTTTTTTAGCTAAATTATTATGTTTTATAATTATTATATATTTTTTTTATTTTGTTTTTATTATATAGCCGGTTCGATCAGTGACCCACCGGTTGAATCAATGAACCATTGACCCAATACCCTAGCCAGTTCAATGACCGGTCCGGTTCTGATAACATTGATTTACATAAACTAAATAGTTGCACAATTTAGTATCGCGGTATCGTTACACCATCATGCCTTAACAATTGCATGAATCTGTGCGCCCATTAAAAAAAATAGTTACACATATTAAAAAATAGTTACACTTATTAAAAAAATAATTAGACTCATTAAAAAATAATTACACCCTTTAAAAAAAATTACATACATTAAAAAACAGTTACACTCACGAAAAAATAGTTACACACATTAAAAAAATAGTCATACTCATTAAAAAAATAGTCATACCCATTAAAAAAAATAAGGAAGTTCTTTTTTTCCTAATTCCAACAACGAACAATACATAATATCTAACAAAAACATCTTAGTTAATTTTTTTTTTTTGGGAAAATTCAGTGTTTATTCACGTATAATTTATGACATTCTAATCAAATTTTATTGTCATAGAATCTTGTTGTCGAAGAAGAAGAGTTTTGATCATTAATGCCCTTATTTTACCTCTCATTACTATTGTTAATCTTTACATATTTATTTTCTCAAATAATTGTCAATGATGACTGCATAATTTAAATGAAGGTGTTTAGGTAAAAAAGTTTTTAATTCACTTAAATTTTGTACTTAAATAAAAAAAAATTTATAAAACTTATACTTAAATAGAGTAAATAACTTATTCATATACTTTTACTTAAATAAGTTTAAAAAATTATACTCACACCCTAAAAACCCTTTTTTTAACTCTCTCCATTCTAGTTTTAAATATATTAAATTTTTTTCCTAATTTTGACGTGCATATGGGCCAGGTTAATATGGCGGGCCTTCGAGTGGGGCCCTCAAACTGCTCGGTGGGCCAGCTACGAATTTTTCGTGATAGGGCATTAATGCTATGCTATGCATACACAAAGTGTGCATTAAATCATTTGTAGCCTTCGGGGTTTCATAACTGATCCAACAACTGCAGATGATTTGATGCACATAGTTTTATTCTATAGTAAATCGCGCGTGAATTGACAGAATAGTACACATTGTCACTAGGGGTGTGAATTTTATCCATGAATTTTAACTCGACCAAACACAAAATTTGAAAATAATTTGATTAATTTAAACCTAAAATAAATAGGTTAGATACAAATAACACAATTAATGGGTATACTATAAATAAAAAAAAAAGAGTAATCTTTTTTGGCCTTAAAAATTTGACTTAATTTGCTGACATAATGACATGGTTTCAGTGAAATCATTAGATCAACACCAAGTTTCAATGTTTAATGGAGCCCACAATTAATCCAAAAGTGATAGTAAATTAGGTCAACAAATTAAATCAGTAATTTAAGTTCAAATAATATAGCTTTAAAAAAAATAGGTATTTAATGAGTGTTGTAGACAAAAAATTATTTTTTGTATAATTTTTTAAATAATATTATATGAGTTTATTGAATAGTCAAATATTTTTTTTATTGGCACAAATATAACACGAACCGAAAATAACACAACACAAAAATAAAATATCACGGGCCGACACCATAAAAAATGTGAAGAAAAACATGGACTGATGAGGTGCCACATCAACGACATTCTCACTTATATATTAATTAACATACAAAAATGGTAGAATTAATCAAATAAAAGAATTATTTTTTTAATTCTCTTGACTGTTGCAATATCTTTTCAAGACAATGATAGTTCAATGTTATTGACAGTGATTTCATAACTAATGTGACATGTTTCGCCAGATTCCACAGACCGTTATTTTTATCAAATAATATTTATAGTCAAATTTCACATACTTTTAATCGTCAAATTTCATTAATATTATGTGTAACTAATAGTACCCATGCGACACAAGTATATACGTATCCGTTTCGTTCACTCTCTGTCACCCCACCCCACCATACTCTCTTTGTAGGGATGCATTGCAAACCATTCTTTCTTTTTCTCGATTACTATATACTTGGAATGGAAAGTCAATAAAAAATTGAAAAAGGATAAATCATGCATTTAGATATTGAGAGAACCCGAGTCTCATTAAATTTTGATGTGCTTAGAATTAATTTCAATTCAAATCACTTAATTGTGCTCGATTATCGAATTTAGATTATTATTCACTATGTATCTTTAGAAAATATCTTTTTTTTTTTCCCTAAACTCAACTTGCCTTAGATGGGCCCCAACATGGGTCACCCTAACTAGATATGCATTTAAAAATTCTTTTTCTTCTGTACCTCTACTGGGACTTACATATTCCCTTGAAGGCGTGTTTGGCAAATTTTTTTGGATAGGATGGGAATTTCAAATCCAATTCTTGGTCATCCGGTCCAACATGATGGGTTACAAATCCAAGGAAAAGGCTTTTTGGCTAACCATCCTTTTGGATACGAAGGATGGGAGATGTGGGCCCTATTGAACTCTTCTGTTGTTGATTTTACCATCATACCCCAAATACTAATTCAATTCATGTTTTTCTTTACAATGAAGGGGTATTAAAGTAATTTAGTTCCTTATCCGGTTGGTGGAGAATAAGCGGACCCCTGGTTATTTATATCCAATCCCTCTTTTTTATCTACCTTTATCCAAGCAAACAAACACCCCCAATTGAATTGGGACTTGATGGGTCCCAACATGGGGTACACCAAAATTTTTCTTTAATAGCTAATGGTTATACATGTCAATATGTCACCATCTACCATCTGCCATCCCTTTTTTAGGCTCACTTAATGTAATTTGAGATTTAACACGACAACATTAATTGAAGGTTTTTTTTAATTTTAATATAAATTTTAAAAAATTAATTTATTATGTGAGAGAGAAACAGAAAAAAAAGACGTACTAACGTTGTCGAAAAAAATATTTTAATTTTAATTTTAATTTTTTACTAGAGAGATAGTCTAATTTTAACTTTTTTTATATATTTTTTTACTTATTTTTACACACGGAGAGAGAGAGAGAGAGAGAGAGAGAGAGAGAGAGAAAGAGTGGAGTAGGGGTAAATATGAATTAATTTTTGTGTATTTTTTATTTTTTTAATTTATAATTTTTAGATTTTTAATGTTATGAATTAGATCATAGATTTAAATTATTATAATAAAAATTTTTGATTGTATTTAATTTTTTAAAACTTCAGGTCGAAACTTTTGTTTTTTAATAGTGTTGAGCCGCCCCTATAGCTTTCATGAAATAATGATTTTTATTCTTGTTGTACATGCATGTCAAGCAACATGGAAAGCAATTGCCACACAATTTTCCCAATTTTATTGAGACATCATTGTTTTGATGGTTACCTCGAAAATAATAGGCAATGAACCATGGGAAAATGATAGGATAATGACAAAATATACATTATTGGAGACGATAATCTTTTGACAAGGCACGAATCGAACATAAAATTTATAAGTTTGAGTTGAATAGTTATTGACACCAATTAAAAAAGAGAATGACTCACTAATAAAAATAATAAATAAGTTAGATTAGTATCAATCACAAATAATTCAATTTTAACACGACAAATCATACAATTGGTGTTGTAAGTAAAAGTTTGATTTTTTTCTTACTTTTTGATGCCAAAAATATTGTGATTTTACTCGTTTTTGGTATTGTTGGACAGAATTATTGCCATTTTTTCACGCTTAGTTTTTCTGAATATGATTATGAGCTGTACAATGATCAATATTTTTCAAGTTTACAGGATTGGTTGGGAGAAAAAGAGGGAGGGTTCCCTAGACTTAGAATTTCGATTTACATGTGATATGTGTCAATCCGATTACTTAAATGACTAATAAAAAATATATTAAATTAGAGCTGACATGAATTGAATTAAATATGAAACGACATGATGCAATTGATGCTACTTATTTCAAACATTGTTCATAGCATACATATGTTGATGTTTTTTTTTGAGGTCATGTATTTTGAGAAATTTTTGTCGATTTTTGTTTTAAAAAATAATTGATAGAAATTAAAGAAAGAGAAAGAAAGAAATTATTATTTAATATAGTAGAATTGATTTTTTTTGAACAATCTAGTTTTATATTGCACTGTAATTTTAATCACGAGTTATTGCTAGGGTTTATATAATAAAATAGAGCATTTTTTAAACCTTCAAACTTTTCTAGATCAACTCTAAGAAATAGTTCAAGTAATAATAGGGGTAAGCTATAAACCTAAACATCAGGAATTTGAATCTTGGCATGGGGTCAGGTCATGAAATAATTATCTCTGAATACCTTAATTCCAGCGTGGCTGACTAGCTTTTCATTGGATCGAGAAGGAAATTAATCGAGGTACGCGTGAATTAGATCGAAAAAAAATTAATTAAAATATGCGTAAGTTGACTTGGACACTTTTGACAGTTAAACTAAAAAAAAAAGCTTATCTAGAGCTAAATTTATAAACTAGATAACACTTAAATTTTAGAAAAAATAATAAATGGTGACGTCATTTATCTATATTAATGACGTCATAAAATAAATTGACAAATGGCCACCAAAAAGCTAGATAGCACCAGCAATATACTATCATCTGATAAATGCCGGCAAGGGTAAGGGTTGCCGTCTGGAATAAAACGCACTCAGCGCACGTTAGCCCGC